TTGTTCTTGTTACCAAAGGTTTGCACCGTGCACAGGTTTCCATTGGTGGCAATGAAACCTTGCCTTGGTTGAATGAAAACTTACATTGGTTCTTCACAGAATCTCAACAAAAAACCATTCAGGTAAGGGGCTGACTAGACCCTAAAGAAGGATCACAAAGAGAAACTGTTGAGTTTACCCCAGGGTTTCTCCTCTTTGGCACAGTTCAGTTCCGTCACTCAGTCGCGTCTGACTCTTTGTGACCCCATGAACCGCAGCACGCCAGGCCTCCCTGCCCATCACCAACTCCCGGAGTCCACCCAAACCCATGTCCATCGAGTCAGTGATGCCATCCAACCATCTCATCCTCTGTCGTCCCCCTCTCCTCCTACCCTCAATCTTTCCCAGCATCAGGGTCTTTTCCAATGAGTCAGCTCTTCGCATCAGGTGGCCAAAGTATTGGAGTTTCAGCTTCAGCATCAGTCCTTCCAATGAACACCCAGGACTGATCTCCTTTAGGATGGACTAAACTGGCAGATAATTTTTGATGTGGGGGGCTGTCTTGTGCATTGTAAGATATTTAGCAGCCTTGCCCCTAGATGCCTGTAGCATCCTCCTCCTCTAACTCTGACAAGAAGATGTATACACTGGGGAGCAGACTCACGACTGGCTGTAATCCAGTCTTTAATGCCATCCTTATCTCACCTCTCTACTTTGTGGAATTTTCTCTGACATGTCAAAGGACCAGTGTACCGACTGTGTGCAGGGAAAGTGCAGAGCGCACCTACCCTCCAATGCTTAAACAGGAGGAGTGTCTGCAGGCCAGCTGGTCTTCCTCCACGAGGGGAAGGTGGTGAGAGGACATCATCGAAATTCTCTAAGCCAGTTGGCATCCTACAATTTTGAGCTAATGAAGCCTTCTATTTGGATTTTGAGAACGGTTCCAAAAATTTTGGCTAAATGTCTTGTTTTGAATTTGAATGAATTTTTAATATGAATCCTTCCTGTAGAAAACTCCAACTCTTCATCACTGGAGTGGTTGTTACAAATATTTTAAGAAGTAAACCAGAGGACAGAGGTGCAAACCTGGGAACAAAGTAGATTCACTTTTTATTTGCTTCCTTTTTTAAAAACTAAATTTGCTCTAATTTTAAATATAGCGCTCATGATAAATATAATGCATGTGTATAATACTGGTATTTAAAAACGTGATTAATAATGGTTTGTAAGTTAACATACAACACTTTTCTTCTATGTAAAATCTAGTAGAATTTTACAACTGGACTTAATTTTGGGAAGGCACATAAGGTGACCTACAGTACGTTCAAATAATGCAATAATTCCTGTGCTTATTTCTTCCCTGGAAATGTCTGGATATTTTCACTTATTTATATTTTAACGGGTTCCTTTTCTCCTTCTCTGCCAAGAAGGGTGCTATTTCTTTCTTTACACCAAGAAAGTAGACCCTGTCCCCATTTTTTCCATAACTCTGTTCTTCTCTCTCCTTTCTATCCCAAGACAGTGTACTACATGTAATTAATTAGGATCTTGTTCATGCAATTCACCAAAGGACAAAACTTCTTTCATTCTTTGTAAATTTGTTCAAAACCCAGTATCTATCGGAAACTCTCTTCAGTTAATTAAAGGAATCTACATATGAATGGGAAACATTTTGGTGATCTCTTCTTTGCATCTACCTTCCATTCCAAACAAACAAAAAATTCACTCTTTTGCAAATGCAAACATATATATACTTCCCTGCTCTGCTTCACTTCCCCTTATCTAAGATGGTTACAACCAATATATCAAAAGTTAATAAGCATAATTTGGAAATCATTAAAAGTGCATTTTCTCCTTGCTTATTTCTATTTCAAATATATTGTTTTAAGGCATATGTGATACTAGCATATGTGTTAGCCTTCATAATCTCTTAAAATACATGTTACATATCTGTGACATTTGAGATATACATAATTCAGTTGAGATAGACTCAACTAGAAACTATTGCAACGGTAATAACTTCTTATAAAAGATTATAATTGATGGAGAAGTTAAGAGTGATTAAAAGGCTGCATGTCAGGTAAAAGGAAACAATCTTAAATATGCAAGCAAGTAGTATATCAGAGAAAAGTTTAGATTTGGGGCTACAGAAAAGACATTTATTGCCTTGGATTAACTTATGATAATTATTCTAAGCGTGAGAATATCAGTAAGAAAAATGTGTGTATGTGTAAGATTTTGCAACCAATTTTTCATATGTATGTGTGAAAATTTCATGTGTATAAATATCCATCTCACAACCAGAGTAATCCATTCTGTGACTAAAATCTAGTTCCTCTTAATGCAGCTTCTTCTTTGTGTACATTTTGAAAAGTCATTTCTGGATCTTATCATTCTTCCCTGGAGACCTTGCCTTTGGCAATTACAACACAGCAGAAAAAATCCTGAACACATGCTCCATACCTTTTCCAAATAAGAATTATCTACCTCTGTCTATTGTTAACCTCTTAGGCAGGGATGATAGATGTAAATTTAAATTCAAGATTTTCAGGCTAAATTTTGTTTTATAAAATCTTATCTTTTAGCTTACCCATACGGAAATGCTCAGCCATGAACGTAAAAGATGCTATTTTATAAATCTACAAGCATTTAGGTGCAGCTCAAGTAACAGCTATTCTAGTGGTAGGAAAAATCTTATCATCATCACTTTATTGTGTTTATATTTATCACTTTATTGTATAGCTCTGAGATATACAATATAAATGAGAAGAGTCTGGGTAGTAGTATGATTTTGATGTGATATTTGCTAGAGTGGCAAGTTCAGAAGTCATAATTACTTTTCTATTTGGTTTCTTCATATTCAAATAGATATTTATTTGACATTTGAGTTATTATTAAGAGAAGTTAAGAAAATCAATAGATTAGAGAAGTTAAGGAAAGAAGAGAAAAGTGGTTTCCTTCCTATCTTAAATTTCTAGATAGGCTACTTGAGAAAATACTTTTGACAGACACATAAAAAGATGAGTGAAAATTAAAAATGGAATTGAACCTTGAAAGTAATTATACATGTAATCCACACTTTCTACTCGGTAGTCTATTGATTATCAAATTTGGAAAAGAATAAAGCACCTAAAATTTTCTAGTTGTATAAAGTTCTCATTGTAAACATAAAATGTCATTGTATCCTACTTAGAAGGGAAGAAAAAGACCAGAAAGAAACTTTAAGTCAAGCTTATGTTACAGGTTATTATTTTAAACTTCTTAATGGTATTTATTTTACTTGCTGCTAGTCTAAAACCTAACATTTTTCAATGTTAATGTTTAAGTCAGTGCTAGCAAAATATATTAGAAGACTACTTTCTCAAAAAAAAGAAATAAAATGTAATTAGTATCATAATTTATCTATTGGATGAGATTTTCTTCACTTATATTTTAAAAGCAAAGTACACTAAATACTGATTAGTAATGTAGAATCTTTGTGGAAAGAGTAATATGAACAAAGACCACCTGTGAATCATTAAATTTCAAGAAAATTTAGTAAACATAAGTAAATGTACGGCTATGGGAGCTTACCAACAAGTAAGAGTGATGAAATATTTGATTTCCAAATCCAACTTTTAAAATCTAAGATGTTTTAAATTAATTGGTAACAAATGTCAGAAAGACCTTTTTCACTAGCCAACTTTCATTCCTTAAACTTAATTTTAATCAAACCCTCCTATAAATTTACAAAAGTTTGAAATTTCCTTTAAAATAATCCATGTATTCAAGAAGTTTGTCACATTAACTACTTGATTACTAATGGCCATGGCAGGCTGCACCCATCCTGATGATGGTCAGCTTGATCTTTTGGTACAGTGAAGATACTGCTGAGGATGGGTGACCCAAGTTCTTTTTTGCATGAGCAAAGTTAAAGTTTCACAGCACTCTCTTCTGTGTTTCCATTGAGTTTTTTCACACACCAAGTCTCCCTTCATATGTGATACTATGATTATCTGCTTAAATTTATCTTAACCCTCCACTGGACTCTGAGTGTGACTTCAGAATAGAGATGGTACCCTATTTAGTTGAGAATCCCAAGTGCTTAGCACTACATGTGGCTATAAAGTAAAAATTCAATAAAATGATGAATGAATGAAATAAGCAAAGGAAGTTCAACTATAGAGTCAGCAAAGCTGTAGCTTGGAGGCATTAATTTTTTCAATTAATTAATTGAAAGAATCATTTATATACTCAGCAGATTACTACTAATAGGTACATAGCATATTTGTAGGCAGTGGTGCTGGGGATAAGATAGAAAGATGGAAAAATTATATTTTAAGTCAACAACTGCAAATCTTCTAGATAGATGTTTAATCACCAGAAAGCATCACATTAAATGGTAAATGAGTTTTCTTTGGCCCTAACAAGACTTCAGAACAAGCCCTTACACAGAGTTATTTAACATTGGTTTGGTAGGTTCTATAATCTGATATATAAAGTTAGTGTAATATGAAAAAAATCTGGAGATAAATTGTCATTAATGCTTGTATTACGCTAATAAAATATATAACTTTTAAAACATGTTTTGCTATAAAAGCTTAACACCTAATTGCACTATTTTAATTTGTAGGAAATGAAAAAAGCAGTAAGTTGATGGCTGGTATTTACCATTCTCATGTGCGTACCAAATGCTGTTAGACTTTGCATTTCTGAGGCTTCCCATGAGTTTTCCAGGTACTGGGAAAGGTGCATGATAGGAAAGATAACAGCCCAAAGGAAGCTATAGACATAGATGCATTATAATGCAGCTCCTTCTCCAGGATTCATTTAGCACACTTGTGTGTACAGTTCTGATAACAAGCTCCATTTTTAAGAATCACCACCTCAAGATTCTGTACTTTACAACCAACATATTCTTTGGTACACATTTTAGACTTTTTTAGACATGAGTGATCATACTAAATGTTTCCTAAAACACAGTGAAATTTGCATCAAATCATGTGGATCCAACCGAGCACATGTTGTTAGTATGACTGTACCTCGTTCTCCCTTCGGACACTTCTTCCTCTGGACTGTACACTTCCTTGACTCACTGGTGGGGGGACACAGGTTACCCTTTGCTGACGGATGCTGTATTATTTCTCGGACCCGTGTTTCAGTTCCTCTTTTGAAGCCGCATGTTTTTCCTTTCTTCGTGCATGGACTCCAAGGGCTCCATTCACTGGCCTCACAGTGCACTGAAACAGAACATCAGAAACAGCCTCAGTTCGCTCACACATAGTTTCACAATTGTTAAATAAACAAAAAGGCTTGCTTCTATCAGTACTTGCCCAAATTCTGAGCAGAAATCCTGCAGAACGAAATTGGGCAAGATGACTTAAGCGAAAAGGGAAAGGCAGGAATTGAATGTTTTCCCCCTTTTTGATCCTATTATCAGGTAAACTCACTCTTGCACTGGGTTTACTTTTCACTGTAGATTTTAACTCAGGCATTAGTGTAATTACTCATGAGTAACCAATGCTTTATAATTTCTAGAGCACCGCTACAATTTATTTATTTGTTTATGGCTATGCTGGGTCTTCATTGATGCTTGGGGGCTTTCTCTTGTTTCGGTGAGCTGGAGCTACTCTAGTTGTGGTGCATGGGCTTCTCATTGGAGTGACTTCTCTTGTTGTGGAGCATGGGCTCTAAGGGCACATGGGCTTCCGTAATTATGGCACAAGGACTCAGTGATTGCAGCTCCCGGCTCTAGGGTACAGGTTCAATAGTTGTGACACATGGGTTTAGTTGCTCCGTGGTACACAGGATCTTCCTGGATCAGGGACCAAATCTGCGTCTCCTGCATTGGCAGGAAGATTCTTTACAACCGAGCAACCAGGGAAGCTCTGCTAAGACTATTGATTGATCCTGACCAGATGAAGATTGCAGCCAAGAAATTAAAAGACACTTGCTCCTTGGAAGAAAAGCTATGATCAACCTAGAAAGCAAATTAAAAAGCAGAGACATTACTTTGCCAACAAATGTTGGTCTAGTCAAAGCTATGGTTTTTTTCAGTAGTCATGTATGAATGTGAGAGTTGGACTATAAAGAAAGCTGAGCACCAACGAATTGATGCTTTTGAACTGTGATGTTGCAGAAAACTCTTGAGAGTCCCTTGGACTGCAAGGAGATCAAACCAGTCAATCCTAAAGGAAATCAACCCTGAATATTCATTGGAAGGACTGATGCTGAAGCTGAAACTCCAATACTTTGGCCACCTGATGAGAAGAAATGACTTCTTGGAAAAGACCCTGATGCTGAGAAAGATTGAAGGCAGGAGGAGAAGGGGATGACAGAGGATTAGATGGTTGGATGGCATCACCGACTAGATGGACATTGAGTTTGAGTAAGCTCCGGTAGTTGGTGAAGGACAGGGAAGCCTGGGTGCTGCAGTCCATGGGGTCGCAGAGTCAGACATGGCTGAGCAACTGAACTGAACTGACTGACCATAGCTTGCTAGGTTAGTCATTCTCAAGAATTGATTCTCAAAGTTCACTGTGCAACAGGATCACCTTCAGTGAGGGCTTGCTAAAACAATGTTGGACCTGTCCCAACCCTGAGTTTCTGATTCAATTGCCTTGGGTGGGACCTGGGATTTGCATTTTTTATGATACAAGTGATACAGATTTGCAGGTACTGAGAATACAGTTTGAGAACTTCTGTACGAGACAATGGTTAAGCAAAAGATGAATCCAGGTCTTTGGCCTACAACTCACCGCCTTTGCTGCTTCATGTGCTGTTGGGTACTGTAATATTGCCAATTATTAATTGGTATAAATCAGGCATAGCAATGTCTATTTTAAGTGAATTCCAGGTCAATTTCAGCTAATTAACTGCTTCTAGAATTCACTTGTCTGGCTTGTTTCTAGGATGTATTAATATCCTTTTCTAAAGCTTTTGTAGAATTTTTTCCCTTTTTCTGTATGTATCAATCTTTTCAATCTTGGCTTTCTAAGGTCTTTCCTATAACAGATCTTTACACTTATAAAAATATGTACCTGCAAGGTTATATTCTTATATTTATGTTCATAAAACTTCTTGACTTACAACAACTGAATGACTTGCAACAGTAACCCTTTCAGATGATATAAGACTCTCTTTCTACAAAAACAAATTCCCAGTAACCTTTTTTGCTGGCTTCTTATGTAAAGAACCCTTATTTCAGAGCAGAATACTATTTTTCATACAATCTCAAAAAATATAACTTAAATGTTTTAGAAATTTAAAACCATTCATAATACATTTTTTTTCCCCACATGCTTTTTTCAGTCACTTTCAGATATCTGAGTGCAACAGAGATGAGTGGAAATGGGTGTGAATTTAAGTTTCTATGAACTTAAATGAACTTTATTGAGCCACTTTCAAAAGAGTCTTCATGCTCAGCTATACTGTTACAATACTGGCTAGAGAATAGAGCAACCAGATCACTTAATGACATCATAATCTCTTGCCAGTTAAGGTCATATCTCTGATCCCAATATTAGTCATTAAAACGTAGGGGAGCTTTAGTACACACCAATAAAAATACCTCCAAGAAAGTAAATGGAAAAAAAAATCCAGTTTGTGAGCTGTAACTTTGTCCAGTATTTATTTAATGCCAGAACTATGAGTACTAAATTAGAAAAAAAATTATATGATGTGGAAATGACCCAAATTTTAGTGCTTTTTTATAAGAGCAAAGATGCTCTAGAAAAAAGAATATCTAGACTTCAGAGAAACAGATTTAAAAAAATTACAACATAGGTAGCTTCAGTCAGATGATGAATGGTTCTAAAAATGAAATTTTACTGACAACCTTATATTATTCCATTGAAAAAGGAGGAGGAAAAATATTCAAAACGAATGAGTTCAGACGATAAAGGGCTCTAACATGACAAGATAGTTAAAAAGTATTGAGAGAAGAAGAAATGAGCCTTTAATGTTTTTGTGCAAAAAAATATTTTTAGAAAAAAATGGCAACTTTGTTGAACATGTAAAGACAACAAAAAGGGTGATTTAAGTAATATTCAGGTCATTACGGGAGGCCTGGCGTGCTGCGATTCATGGGGTTGCAAAGAGTCGGACACGACTGAGCGACTGAACTGAACTGAACTGAACAGGTTATTAAATGAACAGTGTAGGTCTGGGGCACTATTTGGTTAAGAGGTAATTAAGGAAAAAAACAGAACTGCTCAACTCTGCCTTTCTTCTATCTTCTGCATTAATAATCTTAACATTGGAAAAGTTTAACTGTCACTAGTGAAACAAGTGTCTCAAAAATGTAATTAGCTTCTCGTTCCCGGAAGTGGTCATGATGTGGTTGATCATCAGCCTGGAATGCTGTAAAAGGAATTCTTGAAATGGAGAAAAGTTCAATTGAATGTTTCCCTAGTAATGGTCTTACAACATTATTCACTTCTCATTCTTGTTGTCTGACTGCATAGCTCCAGAGGGAATGTAGCAAGGCCATATACTTCGCTACTCACTGTTGGGAGCTAGGTACTTTCCTTCTGTGACTACTTAACACCAGCTCTCTAAGGAGAGCAATGACAATGGCAGAACAGCAGTGCAGAAAGGAGACAAATATTTGGAGCACAAAGTGGAAGTAACAGGTCTACTAAAAAGTTGGGTTCATTTGACACTTTTGCTTAATTTGACCTGCAAACCATGAGAAGTGGATATGTTATGACGTTCAGTCTTTCACCCTAGCTCTGTATGAGGGCAGTGTTTTCTCAGTTTATGACATGCTCTCTCAATTTAAAATCTGGGTAAGACATAGTCATACGGTATAAATTTTAGCAAAGGGAGAGACACATGCTTCAACCTCTGTCCTAGAGAGCTAGAGTCGAGGTACTAATTATAGCACTGACAATAACTCACATTGTGTCCCTGGGATCACTGTTTCAGCTCACTGGGTTCTAGTTTTCAGATTTGTTAAAGGAACAGCCTTTAACAGTTCTTTGTGGTCATCAAGCAGGTCACCATTTTTCATGAAATTCTGAGGCAAACCCACGGCACGGCTAACACACTGCTTGTAGGCCAGATACCATGCAATGGGAGGCATCCCTTAGGAAGCAAGCAACAAAAGCCACCCAAGAACTAAAGCAGTTGATTTGCCTATTCCTATGTCCGAGGTCAATTCCAGCAGTCCCCAACCTTTTTGGCACCAGGGATCTATTTCACGAAAGACAAATTTTCCATGGACCAGGGGTTAGGGGATGGTTTTGAGATGATTCAAGTGCATAACATTTTTTTTTAACTTTATTCCTATTATTATTACATCAGTGCCACTTCAGATCATCAGACATTAGATCCCAGAAGTTGGGGACCCCTGATTTACAACGATCTATTCAAGGAGTCAGATTCACCAATGGTTTTTAGATGGCTGACCCCTATTCTAAAATATATACATTTCTTAAATTTAATTATGTTACCAATCTTTATCTAAATTACTTTGCATAAATTACCAGGAAGCTTTAATAGCTAACCCCACAGTTTCAGATGTTAAATGCTCCATCTGATAAGCATTAAGATAAATGGCCTTTGAAGGACTGATGCTACCCCTTCTACAACTGATAAAATCTAAACATTCACCCCTTTCCTAGGTAGAGCAACACCACTAACTTTCTGCAACTCATTCTGAATTTCTGACTTGAATATTCTACAGAACTGTTTCCTATTTTCTCCACAGTTTGGAAGTTATTACCTCTAATCATCAGCCCTCAGGACCTACAGAGAGATGAATGTGAAGTGCTTTCTCATGTATCTTTTACTCTATTTCTAAGTTATTTTTCTGTTTTTATTGACTAGAGGGAAAAAAATAAAGACTCAACCAAATTGAGCCATGCGCCGTTTCAGGAAAGTTGTTTCCCAGATGCTTCTGAAATTATCTTTAAAATATCATCTATTTGTTTCATTCTTACACAAACTTTGTTTAGAAACAAAAGTCTCATATGGACCTGAAATGGTTAAAGCGCCACTTTAGAGTTAGTACTCCAGTATTTTATATTCTAATGGATCTGTCTGTGGGGACCCCAAGGGTGTCCTGGAGACTATCTTGTACTGAATCAAGGGGACATTTGTGTGCATATGCCAACATCACTGCAGCATCAAAGAGTCTTGCAGCCCTTGCCCAGGGGATTTTGAGATTTAGTATGCTGTTTCCCCATTTGGTTGAGCATCTGCTCCCCAACTGTTCATCAAACTTGTAGCTGTAGTAGCTGCACACCATTTAAAAGAGGGAAAATATAGCCTGACAGTGATCCGTTATTTAGACAAACAACTTGTCTCAAGAACCTCCCCTCCAGGAAACTCAGCCTGCAATTAATCAGACCCTGGGACTGTGTCCTTCTGTCAGTTTGAGTAAGTCCAAAATCCTCTTCTTGTCTTTGAATACCTGTGTAAGCAGAGAACTCCAGCAAAGTAAGTAGTATGAGAGAAAAAAGTGTGATTTTTAAAAAAGCATTTATCATATCCAGTTCTTTAAATCTTTGATCCATTTACTGAGTATTAATGGGCTGGATCCAGAGAATATGTTTCCTCCTTTTGGAAAATAACTTTGGTCACTGGTTGACATTAGACCTAGGTGGAAACTCTTAACCTAAGGTGGAAATGTAGTTCAAGATTAAATTTGTAACACACACACACACACACACACACACATATATATTTATATGGAAATATGTGTGTGTATACCTATAAATTGCTCTAAGTAAAACTTCATTAAATAATGAAACAAAATAAGCCTATAATGATCACAATAGTTGAAACAGTTATTGACAGTTCCTAAGAAATAATGGGGCACCCACAAGGTGTTAAATTTACTGTAATACATGCTGAGTAAGGCCCATTAAGATGTTATCTTTGTAAAGAAGGGAGTGAGCCTCTAAGAGGTATCCCTCAGGTTCTTGTGAGGCAGGACTCTGAGCAGTATTTCCACGGAGACTGAGGTTATCAGCTCTGATGTTTCTCAAACCTCCTAAGTCCTCACCAATACTGACGCACTCCATGGTGTGGTTATTGGCTTCCAACCCTTCTGGGCAATTGTCAAGGCACTTTCCAAGGTGTAAGTAAAATCCACTTTTACACTTTGTGCAGAAATTTTTGTTGAAACAGGTATCACAGTCAGCTTTGCATTCTGAAAACAAAAAAAGAAAAGAGAAATATACTTCCATTATTGTGAGTTAACTATTTTTTGTGGGTCCAGTTCTGTATGCTTACAACACTGGCACCTGCAACTTGTGTGTTAAACACACAGCCTCAAAACTATTTTGCCAAACAGAATTCAAGATTCCTCCACAATCATTTAGTTGATGTACATCAGTCATTGATTTCAAAATTGTTGTTCTTATTGCCTTGTGAAAAAATTTTTGACAAAAATGTTATATAAAACTACATGTCTACTTCTATTAAACGATAGTAAAAATGTTTTATTAGAACTGTCATGAAATGTACTATGATATTGCCTTCATGCTGCTCTTGAGATTTCTTTGTTCATTCACCAAATATTTGATTGCCCACTGTGTGCCAAGCACCATTCTAGATACAGGTTGACAATAGCATACAAAAGAGAGATAAAGTCTTACTTCATGATGCTTATATTCTAAGAAGGGAGATGTGATCAATAATGATAGCTGACCCTTATATGGTGATTACCATGGGTCACACACTGCTACAAATGTTTTACAATATTAAGACATTTAAACCTTACAACAACCTAGTGAGGTAGCCCCTATGATCTCTCAGTTTATAGATAAGGGAACTATGGCTCAAAAAGATTGTGTAATTAGGCCAAGACCATGGAACAGAGTGGTCTTTGAAACTAGGCAGTCTGTTTCCAACTTATTCCAGAGTGACAAGTGTTCTGGAAAAAAATTAAGACAGACACAAAAGGTAGGAAAAAGATATGAAAAATGACAGATAAGGGGAAGAGGTTGATTATTTTGGATAAGATGGTCATGGAATGCCTCTCTCAGAAGATGACATCTGAGTAGCATCTTAAATGAAGGGAGCAAGCCAGCCAAGTAAGGGTGTGGGCAAAGAGCTCTCTAAACTACCAGACAATGAGTGTAGAACAATGATTTCAAAATCCTTGAGGTGAGAAGATTCTGCAAGCAGGCCAGTGAAGTTTGTGCAAAGTGGTCGAGGGGCAGTCACAGGAGGGAATTTGGAGAGGAAAGCAGGGCCATATGTGGTGTATGCTAGAGAAGTGCGGTGTGCTAAATCTTGTTTTGAAAGGTTCCTGGGTCTACAGTGTGGAGAGAAGACTTTCAGGGTCTACATGAGAAGTGATCTGAGAGTGTTTCCAACATTTAATTCCAACTGATAAGTCAATTTCAGTTGTTGTAATGGAATCGTTCTTGAAGCAAGAATAGCTGAATTGCTTCTTTCAGTCATTAAATACTTGGATTCTGTGATAGCAGTGGGAACCCAGATGGCATTGGTGCATGTCATATTTTTCTACAGGTTCAATGAATAATCACCACATTCTCAGTTTTGTTTTTTACAATGAAAAAAAAAAAAAAACCAAAAAACACCTCTCAAAACTGGAATATTTTTTAGAGTAGTGAAAATTTTCCTGCCCTGAGGACTAAGTTCCAGTATGGCTTAGTCTAATTGTCAGGTAAAGACTATTATTTACTTAACATTGAATATTACAAAAATGCTAGAGGCCATTTCATATCTGGAAAGTCCCCCCAGTCAGTTCAGTTCAGTTGCTCAGTCCTGTCTGACTCTTTGCGACCCCGTGGACTGCAGCATGCCAAGCTTCCCAGTCCATCACCAACTCCAGGAGCTTGCTCAAACTCAAGTCCATCGAGTCAGTGATGCCATCCCCCAAGGATGAGATAAAAACACAATTTTGTTTAGGCACTTACTTGTACACTTATTTATATCTGGATATCGAGTTCCATAATATCCACTTGGACATGAAGAGAGACACACTCCAATCTGCTTCATGCCAATTCTTTCCAGAACAAAAAATAGTTTGGGCTTACATGACAAACATCCATTGTAATCTGAACACGTTGCACAGCCTCCTTGGCAGCCTTGACTGACGTTAGGATGCACTGGGGGGACAAATGTAGAAAGACAAAAATAACTGTTAAATCATAAATATAGAAGTTCAATGACGTTCTCTGAGCAGGATACACATGTTCTTTTATTAGCTTGCAATTTGGTGGTAATGGGTGAATGAGTTCAAAATTTTTCCCTCTCTTTTCTGTGATCTGGTGTTTCCCTTGAATACATACATGCATTGTTTTTACTTTCAAAGTTTTAAAAATGCAAGCATTTGAAAAATAAGAATATACTGCCTCAAAATATTTATAGACAATATAAATTGAGTGGAAGTATCCTTACTGAACTAGCATCCCAGTAGATTAGAGATGAGAATTTTGTGCTCTTTCATTGAAATCAGTACACATTAGTTTTGCTTTTCATGTCTGTGGTGGATGTATCTAAAGTTTTCAAATGAGGATGACAACATAGACTGGGACTTAATTGGAGAAAGAACATTACTTTCTAGGATATCTTTTTTAAACTCTGGTGTATTAGAAAACACAATTTTACTCTTTTATTCAAAGCAGATTGACTCTGAAGCTATGTAGCTATTTAGCACTTCACTCCTTGCCAATGATTTCCTGAATTATTTCTGCTCACATGATATTTACCAGTTCAAATTGATATAATGGTGAAAATGTGATTTACCTTACCAGCTGTTCCACGTGGATCATACTAAGTATTTATAATACTGAATAATATTTATTATAAGTTGTGTCCAATATTTGATCTGTTAGGAGAGAAGTCATAGGTTTTGTGCCCTCATCTTTCATTTACTTAAGTGAAATCTACATTTGGTGAAGACATGACCAATCCATGCTAAGGGCTGCTACTACACATGTTCCTGAGAATTCTAAGATTTCTGAGAGTCACCAACATGCATGGTGAGACTATTCATTAGCAAGTCTGAACAAATAGAAACAAACATTTGGAAGATTCATGTTTACTTGAGATCTTCATAACTTTAAACCTTTTTTTTAATGACTATTAACTAGTTATAGACACTTGTGTGTGAGCAGATGGAATTTGCTGACTGAGGGGCATCTCTCATGTAGCTGGTGTTTGGGATGATTTTTTCTTCTAATGTATTTTCTATTCAAATACAATATTAACATCTTTATTGTCCCTTTAGGAATGCAGAAGGAAATCATCCTGACCCTAAGAGAAGTAGGACTGATGCACAAGAGTGCAAAGGCATCCACGTGTCTCTCTCTCTTCTGTTAGTGGTGGGAAGGACCTTCAATTATTAAATCTGTCTTCACAGTGATGTTTGATTATTGCAAAGTCTTTTACTGCAAAAACAGGCTTAGTTAGAAGGGGTACACACAAACCCAATCAGCCTCACCACAGGGGCACACGGGTTAGCTGCTGAGAGGTCATTCGGTTGACCAGCATCCTCTGCCTGGAGGAAACCATCCCTGAATCAGCCACAGGAACCACAAGCAGCTCATTCTCATTCCAAGACATTTTTTAAATAAACTGAGGAAATGTGTGGGGGAAGGGAAGTCTGCTTTTCCTGCACATGCTCCTCCATGGGGTGGGGCGGACATATAAAGTGGCACAGGAGGTTTAGACATTACAGGACCTGGGGGACTTGTAAGCGAATGCTGCCTTCCAAGGAACAGAGTCATTTTTCATGCCAGTAACTCCAGTATTGGAGACTTACAGAAAATGTGTACATATTTTAATTGGGGAAAGACCCTAAAAAAGAAAGGGGGTGAAAACTCCATGTGTTTGGAATCAAAGTGGTCCATTTCAAAAAGTGATAGTCGTAGGTCAAAACCTGTAAAAATCTTTCATAAAAATTATCCATGGAAAAATAGACCTCAGTTTGAAAGAAAGTCATTCCAAGCTCAAGGAAGCAAGTGACTGAGTTTAAATGAAGATGGACTGGATTGGTCCACATCAATGTGTCTCTCTGTCTCTGAGACACAGTTGCTCGAAGGAACACAAGTGTAAGTTTAAGCCCCTTGAAACTTTTGTCAATTATAAGGTTAAATAGATTAGTTACAAAAATAAACATGATTTACATGTTCTGAGCCTCAAAAATGGATATATCTTGAAATAAATTTTATTTAAAAATTTGGGTTTTGAATGTCTGGAAACTTCTGCAAGAGAGACCTCTGTAGGCATCCCAGGATTAACAATTTTGTCCCAAATTATGAAATGTACTAAAGTGATCTCGCTCAACCCCCTCTTTAAAATTTTTACTTATGAAATGTAGCACATTCAACTCACACATGGTACTACAATTACTCTTTTCCCCCCCATATTTTGCTTTTTGAGACAAACGCTTTCTTCATTCCACTATGACACTGTGTTAATTACTTTGGCATAGCCATTTAGGATATTTTCTAATTATGAAGTTTAATACCTACAACTCTGATCTGCTTTTTCAAGGTTCTGACAACATAGTTTTGAAAAATTAAAGATGTAATTGTTCTAGCTGGCAAAGAAAATACCTGTTTGTTTTTAATCAGAGAATTTTGAATATGGGCAGCTACAAATAATAGCAAACTTTATTTATTCAAGAAGGGTTAAGTATTATGTTGCGGGAAGTAAGAAAAAAAATCGAGACTACAAAGTTCAGATTCCATGATTCTAGATTCTTTTGTAGTTGAGTATCACGACATTTTGCTTTCTTGAACCCTGTATAAGGATCATGCAAGTTATGCAGTTGGTATTACACAACTAGATACAAATTTCCCAAACTTCATCTTAAGGGAAGAGTTTTTACTTTTTATTTGGAAACCACAGAAAACTTTGGTCTGGATTGACTGTAACAACCCTTTCAGCCTTAAAATCTTATAATACTAAGAGAGAAGACAGAATACTTGTCATGCTGTTTCTTTTCCCCCTACTCTAGTAATACCTTCATTTTCTATTTCCAAATCATTTCTTTGCAAACCATATTTTGTATTATAATTTTATATGAGCATTGGAGGGATTGGTGGTGGGGAAGTTTCATAGAATATCTAACGTTTGAACTTAATCTTACAAACTGTGTTGAAGTTAGCAGTATGTAAAAGACCAGGGTGGGGCCGGAGGAGGGAACACCACGTTCATTCCCATCAAGGAGACTGGCATGAGTTCCATGCAACTGATGCTGAACTAGTAGTGAATGGAGGTATAAGGCATATCAAGAAAATTTTGAAGCACAGGATAGATCTAGATTACAAAACCTCTTGTGGGCTCGCCCAAGGAAATTATTCTGTAGACTTGGAGGACTTAAACCTGGTGAGTGATATAATCACATTCGTATTATTATAGAGGGGGAAATTTCCCTGGCAGCATGGCCGGCATGGAAACTAGAAGACTAAAGCAATGATCAAGGTAAAAAGACAGATGAAAGCTTAAAATACAGCAGAAGTAGTGTGATGTGGTGAGGGAGGGATACATATTCCAAGGATACTTGGGAGGTGGAGTCAATCAAATATGCTGACCAACAGAATGTGGACTGAATGTGTAAAATAACTCATGTTTTGCATTCTGGCCAGTAAACAGGATGGAAAGGGACTGCTAAATAAAAGCCTTCAGTTGGAGGGAAGGGCAAGGTACATAGAATAAGAAGGTCTATAAATATAAACATGGTTGGGGTTTTTGATTTTGCAGATTTTGTGAAATATCCAAAAAGTGATGCTTAGTAGATGGAGCTTACTGTTGTGATGGTTCCTAGAGATGAATGTGGGAGTCATTTAATTAGAGAAGACATCTTGAAAGGGGGAGGTTGCCAAAGATGCCAAAAGAAGGAACAGTAGTCCAAATAAGGAAGAGAAAAGGATGTATCATCAGCTAATTTTAGTAACAGGGATTCCCTGGTGGCTCAGTGGTTAAGAATCTGCCTGTCAATATAGGAGATGTGGGTTCAATCTCTGGGTCAGGAAGATCCCCTGGAGGAGGAAATGGCAACCCACTCCATTATTCTTGCCTGGGAAATCCCATGGACAGATGAACCTGGTGGGCTACAGTCCATGGGATTGCAAAGAGTTGGACACAACTTAGCTACTAAATAACAACAATTTCAGTAATACTTTGTATTTCTATATCACTTTTGCTTTCAAAGCATGCATCTCAGAAGGCTGAATTAGCCATGGAGGGACTCCCCTGCTGGTCCAGTGGTTAAGAATCTGCCTTTCAAAGCAAGGGACTTGAGTTTGATCACTGGTCGAGGAACTAAGATCCCACACTGCAACTGCTGAGCCCACACACCACAACTAGAGAAGCCTGGACACAGCAACAAAGACCCAGTGCAGTCAGTAAATAAACAAATAATATAAGCATGGAAATGACTGTTAGTAAGGACAGAAGTTATCTCAATTACTTATTTTGGAACCCCAGACTAGGATTCAATGAAACGCTGTAAGCTACTGGACAAATAGTGAGTTTAGATCCAAGAGTAGAAATTAGACCTTTGATACCTGACACCAATCTATTTAGGACTTCCCAGGTGGCACAATGGTGAAGAATCCACTTGCTAATGCAGGAGACACAAGAGACGTGGGTTCGATCCCTAGGTTGGGAAGATCCTCTGGAGAAGTGAAATGGTAACCCACTTAAGTATTTTTGCTGGGAAATCCCATGGAGAGAGGAGCCTGTGGGCTACAGTTCATGTGGTTGCAAAAGAGTTGTACATGACTTAGAGACTAAACAACAGCAAACCAACCTATTTACATATAAGTAAATTTTAGATGTGTAATGTGGATAAATATAAAGTGAAAAATAGGCAGAATTCATGGAAACTCTAACTTGGGGCCTTCTGGTTACAATGCATCAAATACATGGTGAAATTTGTATGACTTTTCCTAAAATTGGGAAAGAAGAAAGTATCTTTTTTTAACTTGTATGTGAAAGTTAAGTATGAAGAATATATCTAAATGTATAACTTAGACCAATTTTCAGTGTCTGAAGTGTCGACACTTCTGTGTCAGTGATTTCAATTTCTCTAGCTATTAAACAAACCTTCCTTCTGTTTCTCTGTTTGATAAACTTATGATGCATAACTGATGCA